ATGTTCCCCACGATGATGGCTGCTAGGGACTGGACCATCTCCATATGAAGCATGAGAACAGGTGGGCTGGGATTGTTTAACCTGGTACCCTGTCTCTCTGTCAAAGTCCTATTGCTGCATTATGTGCAGTATTTACCCCACAGAGTTGCTGTTAGGATCAAAAGTGATCATGTATGTCAAAGAACTGTACAAACTACAAAGGATTATTTTAATGCAAGTTATTATTGTCATTTCCTAACCTGATTATTTTCTGTTTCTTACCTGGTTATGGTAATTATCTTTGGTGGGTATAATTTTGTTGTTTGTTGTTAAGTTGTGACCCCATTTGGGGTTTCTTGGCAAAGATATTGGAGCAGTTTATCATTTCCTTCTCCATTTCATTTTACAGATGAGGCAACTGAGGCAAACAGGGCTAAGTGACTTGCCCAGAGTCCCACAGCTAGGAAGTGTCTGAGGCCAGATTTTAACTAAGGAAGATAAGTCACTCTGTCCATTGTGTCACCTGGCTGCCGTGGGCATATTTTATTCCCACCACAATTCATGGACAGTTCTGCTCCACTGCCCCATGTGTCCAACCACATATGAATGAAGTGCTGGAATAGTGGGGAACTGAACACCTTTGCCAGACTGATCAAAGAATGACAGAGGTGCTTAGTCCCCAGGCCATTTTCTTTTACATCCTTTCCATTATCTCATTGCCTGAGTAAAACTAGCATGAAAGAACCAGGTCCAGCCTGGGGCTGAAGGAGAAAGAGAGAGTTACTTAAGGCAGTCTGATGTGTCTTCCAGCCACATTTAACCCTGAAAGAGCCACTTTTACCATTAATCATCACTATCTCCTAGACTGTATGTACTCTAAGCAGGGCTATTGTAAGTCTCAAAGGAGATGATGGATATAAAGCAGTGTGCAAACCCCAAGGTACCATATAAATGACAGGTTATCATCATCATCATCACCAATTATCAGACAATCACCAGGCTTCATGGAAGAAAAACACTTGAGCTTGTCCTTGAATAAGGAGCGTTTTACCAAGGAGAGAAGGGGAGAGAAGACATTCTAGGTTTGGGGGATAGCCTGCACTAATGCACAGAGATTGCAGAGTGAAGGATGTGGTTGAGCAATTCAGTTTTTAATATGGTTTAACCTTTTTCCCCCCAGTGCTTCTTTGAGATTCTGATTCAGGTTTTCATCTAGTATTATAGAACTAGTAATGCTAACAACAACAGTAACAATAGCTAGCAATAAAATAGCATTTGAAGGTTTGCAAAGTGCTTTCTAAATATTATGTATGTATTTATGTGTGCTATGACATATATATGTATGTATGTACTTATGTATCTCATAGTAACTCTAGGAGGAGGTCCTTTATTACCCCATTTTATTGATTAGAAAACTGAGGTTAATAGAGATTAAATGACCCAAGATCACGGAAGTCTCTTGGCCTAGGTTTGGACTCAAATCTTCCTGACTTGAAGCAACTAGGAAGCACAGTGGATAGTGGTCAGCACCAGCAAAGAGATCCTGGCAATCCCCCTGTGATCAGCCACTGAATCCCCACACCATCTGTGGGTTGAGAGTTCTGCAAGTAACAGCTGTAGCTGTGTCCACCACCCTGGGGTTGTGCTAGGGCCAGGGCTGGACTATGCTCCTCTCTCATCCAGGTCCAACAGACCTTTTCCACTGACCTTCTAAATTGTCTTTGGTGTTTGTGGGTGGAGAAGTCTAGAAACCATTACAACTGCCCATGATTCAGTCTCTTGAGGCCTGTTCCAGGTTTACTCTGGCCTTATCTTTGCCTGTGCAGCCCACACTGAACTTTGCTTCTCTCCCAGCCCACCACAGCAGACTTTTCCCATCAACCATCCAGGTTGTCTTGGGCTGGAAATTTGTTTCACTCTGTCTTTTTGTGGGTTCTGCTGCTCTAGAATTTCTTTAGTCATTTTTACAGGTATTTAGAAGGATTTGGGAAAGAGCTCAAGCAAGTCACTGCTTTTCCTCTGCCATCTTGGCTCCACCCCACCTCCCCAATCATGTTTCTTTTAGTATTGCCCTTCCTTAGTCATCTTTCTCTCCTTGTTGGTACAACTGCCTCATCTAATCTAATTGGGCTCGTAGGTGCTGTCACTCCCTGACAAACGGGAGCTCTTCTTCTCTATAGCCCTTCAAGTTTTTTTTTTTTTTCCTCTAGCTCTTAGGGAGTCAAATGTCCTTTTAGGGCTACTAGATCTTCGGGTCCTCTGTTATGCTTTGATTATGGACTTGTATTTGTTCCTATTCCTTTTCCTGCTTTTAGAGCATCATGGTGAAGAGGAAAGAGCACTTAATTTAGGAATTACATAATTTTGGAATTGCATATACTTAGTACAATTTCCGGTTCTGACACTTAATACCAATTTGAACTTGTGCAAAATACTTGACCACTCAGCCTTAGTATTCTCATCTCTAAAATGGCCAATTTGTACTATAATGGGGGTTGTTAACTTTATCTATCTATCTATCTATCTATCTATCTATCTATCTATCTATCCATTTATTTCTCATCTGGTAAAATGGCAAAGCCAGGGGCATGCGGATAAATGTTTAACAACCAGCTCTCCAAAAAATATGCACAAAAAACTTTAAGTTTAATCTGCATTATTAACATTATCTTCATTACTTTCTTATTTCCAGACAATCAAGACAATAATAAATCAAGGTCTGAATTATAGCCTTTGCTAATTTCCAAAGTGTCAATGCTCACTGTCACTGGAAATTTAAGAATAATCCCTCAAGCTAGTTCAAGTCAATTCCAGCATACCCCTGGGCAAAGCTGATGGAGTCTTGAAAATAATATTTCTTTGTTTGTTTTATTTTTATTTTCTTTTTAGGCATTTGGGGTTAAGTGACTTGCCCAGGGTTACACAGCTAGTAAGTGTTAAGTGTTTGGTTTGAGGCCGGATTTGAACTCAGGTCCTCCTGACTTCAGGGCCGGCACTCTATCCACTGCGCCACCTAGCTGTCCCTATGTTTGTTTGTTTGTTTTTAAATAATTGAAGTTAATGTTAATTTTAGTTAGAGGTTAGTGAGCAGTAAGATGTATTTTTTCCCCATCAAAGTTAATGGAACCCCTAAATTTATCCATGAAAGGTAGGTTAAGAACCCCTGATCCAGAGGACCTTCAAGGGATCTTCTAACTTTAAATCTATCATCTCAGGTGATACATGGAGTTCAAGGCTTTTGAACAAATGCTGATCCTTCAGCTGCTATGGATAAGTGTTTCTTGTACAAGTATGCGTTCCCAGGCTCCTACAAAGAGATTTCTGAGTTTATACAAATGAGTGAACAAGGAAAGCAAGCAAAGGAAAATATGCATCTGGAGGTCTGATGGTTGTCTGTTCCAGAAATGTCTGGAGGGTCTATGCAAGCTTCTGTTTGTTCCTGAGTCAGGGAAATGAACACTTGGATGCAATGACTGCACTTACCTGAAAAAAAACAAGTATAGGAGACACAGTATTTCAAATAATCCAAAAGTCAATTTTTTACTGTCATAATATATGGCTTTGGAAAAAAATGACTCATAAAGGTTTGTGAGATTAATCTTATAGGAACAACACTTATTGAGAATGAATTAAATGAACAAATGAATGGATGAGTGAAAAATACATATGTTATATGTTATTTTTTTCCTGTTGTCAGGAACTGTGCTAAGTATTATAAATGAAATAGATTGTGCTTATAGACCAGGTGAGGGGTGTGGATTGCAAGCAAATAATTACAAATCCACATGTTAGCTTCCAAATTCGTTAGAAAACCCAAAATGATAACAATATCTAGACAGACATTCCTTTTTTTAAATTTTCTTGGAAATATATTTGACATTATATTATATATTCTAGTTTATAATGTAAATATAAAGATACATTTATCATGTCATTAGCCCCAGGCCTGACCTTTCCCACTCTCTGTTTTAGATATGTTGATAAGCAGTTTTCAAACAGAGGAGGAGGAGAAGGCAACTACCTGTGTAATCTACATACTAACCAATCAGATTTTGAATATACTAGGAGTATATTACATTTGTGAATGAAGCCAGCAGCTATTGGATTCCAGGATTTACTAATATTGCTTCTGAAATGGGGCAGTCTCCTTTCCCTCTTTTTTTTCTAAGTGTCCCAGAAAGAACTAGCGATTGATACTTAGTTGTTTTAAATCAGAAAAAAAAAAAGATTGAAACTAGAAAAAAATTGCAGCTTGCATGAAAAGCGTAGTGGTGTCCACCTACTTTCTTAGTGGGTACATGCACGAGGGCTTGGTTTCCACATAACACTTCCCCTGTGCTATTTTTGCAGGAGCAGTGTCAGCAACAACTTAAACCCACTAGATCTCAAACACCAAAGAAACTGCTTATCACTATTTAAAAAAATGAAAGGGGGAGAAGGAGAGGACAGCCTGTGTCTTCCAGACACTGCGCATTGAAAAGTACTGCATTTTTCTCTCTTTACTGGCATTTTCATTGCTAACGCTCACATTTTAACAGTGCGCTCCCTCTTTCCCTTCTCACATGCCAACTGTCGCACTTTTAGTTAGACAGTTCTATTTTTCTTATCTGTTTCTGGCTGACACGTATGTTATCTCTCCTTTTTACTTTGTTTGACAATATACTTTAATGCATTTGAACTCTAACATATGAGGTAAATTGAAGTTTGGGGTACCATAGAGTTAATTTAAAGAAGAGGGTGGTGTTAATATTTTATATATTTACATTTTTTAACATTAAAAAGCTATGTCTCTTCTACGTTTTTCTTTCTTTTTCTCCTCCATTTGCCCTTTCATTTTCTTTCCTCTCCTTTATTGCTTCTTTCCCCTTCCTTTTGGTATCTGTCTCTCCGTGTGTCTCTCTGTCTCTGAATCTGTCTTTTGATTCCTCTGTCTCTCACTCCCTCTGCCTGCCTCTTTCTGTCTCTGTGTTCTCTCTCTGTCTCTCTCTTTCTGTCTCTCTGTCTCTGCCTCTCTGTCTCTCCCTCTCTCTCCCTCATCCCCTTTCAATACTCCCCACATCCAGGTGGACACACCTTTTGCAAGAAAAGAACACTATGCTAAAACCAGATTTGGAGATTAGGGATCGGGGAAGATTCTCCCCTTCTCTTGTTCAAATGAATGGACTGAACTCTCCCTCTCCCCTCCCCTGAGAAGATTCAAAGGTAATGCCCTTATCCACTAGGGTACCTAACAAGGAGGAGAGAGTACTGACATGACTCAGAGCATCAGGAGAGGAAGCATCAGGCCTGGGAATTACAGGTAAATCCTGAGCAAGCTAAGCCGGGAGCTACAACTGAAAGGAGTAATAGCTGATATTAGCAGAAGCAGTTTTTAGTCTGAGATGCCCAGGCTGTCTGAGTTAAAGGCATCAGGATTGCCCCCCAACCCCCTGCACTGCTTCTATTTGCACAAAGAACTGAAACTCCTGGGCAGTGAGCTTTTTGGGGAAAGAGGCCTATTTCCTAAACTATGGGGTGGGAGGAGGAGGCGTGTGGGAAAACAGAGAAATGAAACTTTACCCATTCAGGAAATATAACTGTGATGTTTTTCCATTGTATTATTTTTCATTTGTGCTGATTAAATATTTTGTTCATAATATTATTCCTTCCCTATGTGTGTGAGATGCTAAGAACTGGAATGTCGAAGCATGAAGTAACTATGGAAGCTCTCAATTTTGCATTTTGAGAAGTGGAAAAGATAGGTAAATTACCATTAAAAGTCCCTATGATTTGAACCACTATTTGAGGACTCTTAGGTCATTGGACCCACGGCTTATATATTTATGCATGTAAACATACACATATGCATATATGTATGTACATATGTATCTGTCTCTGTATGTATAGGCATCATGGTCTAGTGCAGAGATTGTTAATGTGGGGTCTGTGAACTGATTTTTTAAAAATGTTTTGATAACTGTATTTCAATATAATTTGTTATGCATTTGTCATCCTCAGGAGTCCATAAGCTTCACCAGACTGTTAAAGACATTCACGACACCCTAAAAAAAGTTAAGAACACCTGATATAATGAGAAAAACATGAAACCTGGGGTCAAAACAAAGATATGCTGGATTCCTGTTTCTCATCTTGCTAGTCATATGACCTTCAGCAACTTACTTTACCACCCTGAGCTTCATTTTCTTCATTAACCTGCTGCAGAGACAACTACTAATAGATTTAGATAATACTGTCTATGTGATCTTGGGTAAATAATCTAAACAGTGCCTTAGTTTATTCATCTTCAAAATGAGGAGGTTGAGTTAGCTGATGTTTACTTCTGATTCTTAATCTGTGATTATCTAATCCAAGTGCCCAGGTTTCCTATAAAATGGAGATAATATTTATGCCTGTAGCATCTTCCTCACAAGGTTGTTGTAAGGTTGGAATGAAATAATGTATGTATGACAGCTTGTATAAATGCCAGCAATTTATTATTGTTATTGTTAGTAATGATGGTGATGATGGTGATGATGATGATGATGATGATGATGATGAAGACGATGATGATGATATGTTTATCCCCTGGACATTGACCTGTAACCATTTACTGTACAAACACGTCAGGTACCTGTTTTGTGTACTAGAAGAAAAAAACATGGACTACATTTACAAAAAGATATTTCCTTCTTGTATTTCAAAGCAGAAGCTTTGTTATTAGTGTAAACTACTGAGGCTCTTTCCACCACTAAATCTATGACTGTATGATTCATTGAATGATTCCCCAAACCAAGAAACCATTTCTTGATTTAAAAGGTACCTGCGTTTAGAAGCTGGAACAGGTGAGTGACAATGCCGCATTTGTCTTTAAAGCATCAAAGCATGTGCAGGCTAGCCATTGCCCTTGACATTCCCGACCTGTTCAAAAAGCTCCTTGGAGTCTGCCAATTAGACAAGAATCATTTTCTTTGCTGAAAATAAAGGTGCCTTGGTGGCGGTGTTTAGTCATTTCAGTTATGGCTGACTCTTCATGTTTGGGGTTTTCTTGGCAGAAATAGTGAAGTGGCTTGCCATTTCCTTCTCCAGCTGATTTTACAGATGAGGAAACTGAGGCAAGGATGGCTAAGTGACTTGTCTAAGGTAACACAGTTAGTAAGTGTCTGTTGCTGGATTTGAACTCCCAAAGACGAGTCTTCCTGATTCCAGGACCAACAATTCGTCCACTGCACCACCTCGCTGTCCCTATCACTCCTCCTTTCACTAACCTATCCCTAACCACCACCAGCACTGGGACAATATCATGGAAATGAGTGGATATGGAGTCAAAGAATTTGTGTTCAAATTTATGTAGGGTCAGCTAGGTGGTACAGTGGATAGAGCACCGGCCCTGAAGTCAGGAGAACTTGAGTTCAAATCTGGCCTCAGACCAAACACCATTTGACACTAATTGCTGTGTGACCTTGGGAAAGTCACTTAACCCCAACTGCTTAAAAAAAATATTGTATGTCCCACTTCAATGCTTCAGTTGGTCACATATAAAATGGTTTTGAATATATATATATATATATATATATATATATATATATATATGTGTGTGTGTGTGTGTGTGTGTGTGTGTGCGTGCATGTGTGTGTATGTGTGTATATCTGCATATATACACATACATATGCATATATAAATATACATACACATATATACCTGCACACATATATACATATATACACACGTGTATGCATATATACATGCATTCATCTATATATCTATATTTCAATTCTAAATCCAGTATCTTATCATCAAAACTTCCCCCAAGGAGGGCTATTCTCATTGTCTCTGTCTCTGTCTCTCTTTCTCTCCCCCTGCCTCACACACATGCAGATGTCTCTAGAGAGATAGATGGATAGATAAATATCTCTGTTGATCTCTACATGTATACATATCTATAGATCTCTCTGTATATATACATATACCCATATGTACAAATATTCATAGATCTCTATATTTATCTAGAGGCAGCTAGATGGCTCAATGGGTATAGCATTAGGCCTGGAATTAGGAAATGTTGCCTTGAAATATAACTTCAGATACTTACTATCTGTGTGACTCTGGGCAAATCACCTACCCTCTGTTTGCCTTGGAAGCAGCTAGGTGGCTCAGTGGATAGTGGCCCTGGAGTCAAGGAGACCTGAGTTCAAACCTAGTCTCAGATACTCACTAAGTGTGTGACCCTGGGCAAGTGACTTAACCTCTGTTTGTCTTAATCCACCGGAGAAGGAAATGGCAAACCACTCCAGTAACTTTGTCAAGAAGTGTCATGAAGAGTCAGATATGATTGAACAACATATTTATCTACCTATACATATATGTGTACATATATAAATACACATACACATGCATATACACATACTACGTATTATGTAGGTTTATGTACATATACATATGTACATATCTCTGTATATTTAGTTGTGCATATACACAAAAACTTTTCATAGACGCCAAATTCCTGATTCCCCAGAGAAAGTACAAAACTCTTCCTTCTATTAGTTACACTTTGTTCTGGTCTGTTTCTGTGTCTGAGTCAAAGGGATCAGGAGGGGGAGACGAGTAAGCTTGATAAGTAACTTAATAGGCTATTATAGCCAGCAACTGTTTTCAACTAGCAGCTGCATGAGTCACCCAGTCCACGTGAGTGCCTGTTAGTCCTCCGGGAATAGCTAATCTATGACTCACAGGGTGGAGCCTACTTGCAAAAGTACTTCACTAAGCCAAGCATACTCAGTGATGTCAGGCTCTCAAATTACAGTCAATGGGTCAGCAAGCTTCAAACAAATGCTGTGTGTTCACTCTGTTCCCTTCAGAAATTCCAGTGCCATAGCCAAGTCCATCTATATGCCATGCAAACAGCCAGTGATAATAGAAAGCCAAAGAAGTCCAGCTTAGATGTGGCTCTCATTTTCAATGGCTTTCCCTATCAATATCCTATTTGTTTTCTTGGGTATTCTGTTTGTCACCTCTGTGGGCAACATGTAACCCACTGTTTTCAATTTTAGCATTGATTTGTCAATGACTGCGTGCAAGGATTGTGTTTGCTGACTATATCTATATTTATTCATAATTACTTTTCCATCTGCCTTTGTATTTTCCCATAAGCAGATATCAATGTCTTGTAGAGTAATATATTATAACCTGGGAGAGATGTGGACTGAGAAGAAAAGACCTATTATGTCACAATGCAGAGTTAAAAGTTATTAAAATTTTGCTTGTTACAGTGGAAGAAATGAGGCTGTTCATGGCAAGGAAAGAATGATACTGAAAAGTGTATTTATATTAACAGCAACACCATCATATTATTCTCATTTTTTTTTAAATTCAGAGGGATTAGGGTAGGGGGTTCCAGATAGAAACTTTGCTCCAACAAGTTCCAATCCTTTTTATTGTTCTTTGATATTTATTTTTCTGCATGTAATTGCACAAGCGGATTCAATCACTTCTTTTTGGTCTTAAATAAAAGTGTTAGAATATAAGTTATTCCTTGTAGATGCCCTAAAAACAGCCTCACTATGACCTCAGCTGACATATACCTCATCTTATTCCCACATGATTTTGACTCCCTTGCCAATTCTCCATATTTTGAAAATTTTGCTGGAGAATATGGACATTTGGAATAGCAAAATCTATTAAAAAGATGTTAAATACATTTTAAAACAAGATATTAAGCAAATGGACAATCTCTGAAAATGGTCTATTTTCTTTTAATTTGTTTACTTCTCTAAGATATTGAGGTGGTGTGGTAGTATTGGGACTTGTGACCTGTCAGTCTGTGTGGGATAGAAAACTTCTGATTTATAATTCTATTCCCCAGGTCATGTCTTGTTGGATAATTTGTCAGGTGCTAAGTTTTAGTCTGCAATAATATATTGTAGAAAGTTTGCTATTTCCTTGATCAATGTTTGTGCTCCTTAAGAATTGCTCTTCTGTGGGTTCTGGCTACCCCACGGTCCTGATTTGCTCTCATGAAATCTCCATTTCCAAATACAAGTCTGTATGACTCAAACATTTGTTCAATATTTCTTAGTCAACATATTGTTGACTGATACCATAAGGAAGTTACCCTTGGGAGGCCTGTTGGCTCTACTCTTGGAGCATAGCCATTTGGTAAGCCATATAAACCATTTTCTGTTATATCTGACAAATCTAATAATGCATATCTTATTGACAATCTTCACTATTGTTTAATGCATTGATGTCTGTTCCAAAATTTTTTTTTTTAATAATTTTTGACCTGTTTCTTAAGTACTCTAAAAATGTATACTAATTCTCTTCCTCCTTTTTAGTGGGGAAGTAGCAATCTTTATAAAGCTGCCTTAGGCTTACGAGGCCCTGTTTTGTTTTGTTTTGTTGTTAAAATTGTATATTTTTTAAAGGATATTTTCTAAATCTGTTACGTTCCCATTATTGCTTCAAATGTATGACTATAATTGTTTAGGTGCTAACTGCTCCAAAAGTATTCTTCCTATTCAGATTTAATATCAGGAGGTCAGTTAATCTTAATATCTTAATTTGCAGCTTTCTCTTTGATACATTTTGTGTCCTTTCTGAAACAGACCAAAGTATTTGTGGGTATCACTTTCATCTAATAATTCTATGTGACCTCTGCATTTCAAGATTGAAGTCTTCAGACTCTCACATTCATGAAGAATTTTAGATTTACTGAGTTCAAATGACATTTTAGTATCTTTGGAGAAAGATTCCACAAAATGAAGGGGTATTTGATATGGTTTTCAATGGAGCATTTATATTGAAGTCATCAATATACAGTTACTGATTAATATGATATTTTAGTTATACTTCTTCTTGGTAGTCATATTTATTTTTATAAGGGAAAGATGATAATGAGTGTTAGACTTGTTAGAATCACAGTGAGCTTAAACATTCTCCCTGAAAAATGCCCTGTTTTACATCAATTGTTCTTGACCTCACTGCATTGGTGGAGGGTTTTAAATAGATGATCATTTGCCATGTGGACAATGAATACTCTAGCTTTCTCACAATACTTCATTTGCTTTTATATATCTGCAGCCCATGAAGAAGCTATGACTTTGTCACTGAGTCAAAGACTCAGTGATTGTGAGATTGTGAGAATCCACAAATGCAATATAAGTGTTAAGGTGCTTTTGGGCAATTTGTTCAATATTTACTAAAGAAATAATAAGTTGCTCTCTATATATGTGAGTCTTCTGGTATACCTTTTTTTTCCCCATGGTTCTTGTTCCATATCCTATACAATGTTTTCTTTTAAGATTTTATGGATTTTTTTTTGGTGATACAAACTTTGAATTTTTGAATGCTTTATACAGTATAAAATGCATAAATATATATATTTGTCCCATATATGGAGGAAGTCACAGATACTGTTATCTTTTGGTAAACATAGTTAATGCCCCTATTAAGAAAGTTGGGATCAGGTTTATACCAGAAGACAGTAGTTTGCTCATAATTTATTTGCCATTCTGAAGCATTTGTATGAATGATTGTGATTCTTATCCACCACCACTAATTTTCTAGTTTTACAGAAAAGGTGGAGATTCAGTGACTTCTTCTGATGTAATTATTCTTTATATTAGCGGTGCTCATGCTTTGTCTTTGGTTGTTTCAATTTAGGCTTTTATTGTTGCAGACTTCTTGTGATGTACAGGCAAGATGTTTTCCATATCCTCCTCACCTCCTCACCTCTAATTTCTTTGTTTCTCACATTTGTGTAGTAAAGTTTTTGATTGAATATGAATGCTTTATTTTCTTCTTTGTTCTACTTTGATTACTGGGAAAAGCTATCAGTTGCTCCAGGGAGAGTTTATTTTTCATTGTGAAGAGCAGGGACAGCCTGAGATGGATTTGTCCCAAAAGAGGTCTTGGAAAACTTCTTGCTTAGAGTAACACCCTCCACTGCTCCTGCCTCTTATTCCTTAGATTTCTGCTTTAGATTTCTGAATAAGAAATTATAGAATTTCTTA